CACACACACACACACACACATATATACTTTTTAAATATATTTTTATTTATATTTATGAAAGTATACACATATATATATATTTTTAAATAAAAATATAAATATATTTAAAAATATGAATATATTTTTTACATCCTAAATTATTTCACTACTTAAAAGTCACGTAAAAGCGATATTATCTTAAAATTATCTACGTTAAACGACTTCAATTACACCTTTTACTAACTAAATTTAAAATAAAATTATCTTTATACATATCTTATCAAAGACATATTAATTTACGTGTGATTTTATCTATATAGATAATTTTTTAAGTTATCTAAATGCAACTAAATAGTTGTCGTATTTCTCGGCAGTTTGAAGCTTCAAAATAACCGAGTCGTATCGACTTGAAAAACATTAAACTGGCTCACCCACGCGACAAATGATGTCGAGTGGAGGATAGAACCGTCTTCCGAGACTCTTTCGGATATCTTAGAACACGTACGAGTGTGTTTGATCACGCAGCACGAGATGGCCATGGCACGCTTACTTAGTCAGTGTTGGCATTGAGAGAAAGCGATTGCTTCGAAATTATAGTTCGATAATCTTAAGCAAACGGAAGGCGACTCGAACAAATTATTCAGTCGACTGACTCATCATCAATCTATCGTGATTTTCAAACAGAGCTTAATAATTTCAGTACAATATATGTACACATAATTGATGTCTTATTTTTTAATTAATGTGTTAGTTAATTAATTGCTAGAACGCATCACGAAAGAACGTCGTTTCGTTTTACTGATGGGGCATTTTGTCGAAAATGATATCTCGATATCCGGTTACGCATTCATCAAACTTCTCGACTTTTTTGTCAAGAGAAATCAAGCATCATATAGAAAATTTTTACCTGTTGAAAGAGGTACCACTTACCATTCCGTCCGCGTGACGAAAAGAACAGAGAGAAAAAGTGAGAGAGGGAGGGAGAGACTCGGGGGACCCCCGAGTGCGCTCCGTCCCAGGAATGCACTGTCGAGCTATATATCTCGTTTGTTCCGCAGGAGGAAAAGATTCGATCAGACCCACCTCTTTTCGGTAGGTCGCACTGATATATATTTATGTATACGTAATTTTTTTCGAGGTCCTCGAGGAATAATTAATTTTGTTCACGATCTCAAGTTTCCGGAAGCAGCGAGACGCGCGAGATCCGCAGAGACACTCGAGAGGAGACTCCGCGAGGAAGGTAGGAAGCGCAAGAGCGGCTCCTGTTCTCCACGTCACGACGCGACGGACCGCATCACATTGCACGGCCGTGCTTCATCCCGACCGCACCTGTGGTCCCGCTTCCCTCCTGGGCCCCTTTGCGGGCCCCAGGTGCTTACCGAGCGAGACCTGCCCCTCCACTTCTCCTCGAGCAGTCAGTCTCATTCTCTCCGCTCGCTAGCAGCGTAACATCTTCCTTCTCTAACATCACCTCCTTCCGATCCTTCCTTTCTCCTTCCTTGGTAACCGTGGTCGTCCACTTCGCTCACTCCGTTTGCTCCGCTTCGCTTCGCACCGTCGTCATTAACAACTCGCGAGGGCTGGCAATGGGAAACCGCAGTTAGAGACGCTCGTTTCACTTCGACTGTGCAGAGTACACCTTGAACGGAGTTTAATAAAGACTTCAATTATGTCTCTCCCGCTTATTGTCGGAATTAACTCTGGAATTGTTTCATTACGCGCTATTATTTCCTTCTTTTATATTTCATTCTCTCTCTCTCTCTCTCTCTCTCTCTCTCTCTCTCTCTCTCTCTTATAAATTTTTATATAATATTTCAAAACTTTTGCATAATTTTTTAAAAAATTGCTCGAGTTTTTTATATGAATTATGGAACATTTTTCAACAGAACTGCTACATCTTTTCTATAATAAAATTTTTTGAATATGTAAACTCTGAAATATTTAAAAATCTCCAAGATTTTTTCATTCTATAATTTAAGAAAAAAATCAGAATAAGTTCAAGATATTATATTTTTCAGAAAACATCAAATTTAAAATTTTTTAAATATCATGACATATGAGAATTCTTTCCACTGAGATTGCAATCAGAAAGAGATTGCGATTAAAAAATTATAATTTTATTTCTGCATTTTGCTTCTGGAAAACGTTCAAGAAAAATATCCTCGTGACTATGATATTATAACCTGATTTTAGTATTTATATTAAAGAAAAACATATACACAGAAAAAAGAAGATATAATAAAAACTAAAAATAAAGTCAGTTATGATATAACTTACTTATTATATATTAGCCATGAGCTAATTTTAATTACATAATGATAAAAACTCATTTGTAGGTGTACGAGTATATTTTTATTCATGGAAAACTGCATATACTGAATGCAGAATGGAAGTTTGTTCGGGGAATAATTACTTTAATTTCACAATGCACAAAACACAAGTAAATTATAGGTACATATAGTTATCGCGTAAGCGAGTGAGAAAGGTGCTTTACTCCTATACGCATCGATACTAATTTTTTTCGTACAGTACAATTTTACACTTCTAGACACTTATCTCTAATATTTTTATCTTCTCTACGAAACGTCAGACAGCATCTAAAGGTTGTAAAAATGTAATCCACGTTAGAAAATAAACTTGTAAAGTAACGTCGAAATAGAACAGCCCGATCGAGAATGCATGAGAATTAGATGTATGTATTTTTGTGCAGGTGTACAAGTACTATTATGCGGAATCGAAGAAATATGTATGATTTTTAGTCAACATATGTATTGCTATTACACGCTGTTACACGTCTCGTATTTTTACATATACATGCAATAATTATACTTGCATTACAACTTTTATATAACATCGATGACATCATTACTAATTTTATTTTTTTTAACGGCGGAATATCCCCTGGTAAAAAAGTAATAGAGAACGATTGAGAACAATAGGATTTCTATCAATTTGTATCATTTTTTATAAGTTTATATCATTTTCTTTGTCGACTTCGTGAGTATCATGATTGATCGAACATAAATCTTAAATCGTTTTATCGGATTCTATAAAATTTGTATGAGATTTCTATAAGATTTGATTTAAATTAGTGAATTCATGAACCACAGATTCCATATTTAAAATGATAGAATTTTTATATTGTTCTCTATCAACTTTTTTCGTGTTTAATGATTTAATATTAAATTTGGTCGATCATGAACTCTATCAGTTCCTAAATATTTTGTTTTACTTATTCGAATTTTCAGTTGTAATTGCCAAGATGCTTAAAAGAATTTCCAAAAAGTTCGATTCCAATGAAAACTTGATCACTATTCGACCATGTGGAATAAAATTTCCACAAAAATCTTAATTAATAAAGCACATTAAGGATAGCGCATTATATTATATATCGACGTTTAAAAATATTAATTTTTATACGTCATTGCATGCAAACAATATACATATACGCTATATCAATAAAATCAAGAATTACATATAGCACGTCAGATATAAACATTCGAAGACTTATTTAGATTTAGCAGCGTCATAAAAATATGATAAAACGTTACTTGCAAAAGCAATGGCCTTGGTGTAATCATTTGTCGCATTAATGTAATTTATATAAAATCGAACATATTACCATTATGTATGTAAACTCTATAAGTAGTAATAGATTTTTTTTGTAAATTGGTGGTAACAATTATTACTATAGTATAGAATCTATAAAAAATTATTATTATATGTATATAAAAAATAATATATAAAATATATCATATATCCGTGAGATAAAGCAAGTAGATCGATAAGTTAACATTAATTGTTTACAGACTAGACACTATGACGACCGCTCTGCAGAAAGTTAAAGTACTAGATTGATTGTATCATTAGTAGGTGCATGTTCTTTTTCTATTTTGATTTGTAAGATTAACGCTAAGAAAACGTTAGTCCGTATAAGACACGATAAATGATATTTATCGTTCAATGTCTCGAGATTCCTATACTCAGATCGTTAAGCTCTACATTCCTAATTAAGATTAGTCAAGAAAAATGGCTTTTAATCTGTTAACAGTAAACTTAAAATAAAAAAAATATCAGCAACTTAATGCGAAATATTATAAACGCGCTCAATTATAAATATCAGATGCAACACAAAATATACTTTTTATCATAGAAATAATATTTCTAATACTCATTATGCAATTTAAAATATAATAATTTTCACTTTATATCAACGCAATGCGTTAGTTTGGTTTTCTACTTTGGCCCGAAGAAACCCTAGCTGCGTAGGTACTTTGTGAAAGATGTTAAATGCTTATATACAAAAGTCTTTAAACTCGAAATATATATACATATATATATATATATATATATATATATATATATATATATTTATATAGAAGAGCATTTGGCAGTAATCAGAAAAATCGAGTGCCCGTATATAAATTCGCATCTAAATTCTTCTACATTTATAAAAAAAAAATCAAGATTCTTTTTCAGTATATCATCGTATAAGATATGCAGATATAAATATAGGCTGTGTTCCAAAATTGCTAGTAATGAAAATCTATAGTGGACGTAACGTAAACTATAAATTTTCAGTACAAGAAATTTGGAACACAAAGATAGTCCGAGATAATAGTCAAATTTAATAATCGCCAATGTAAAATACTATTTATAATAAAAAAAAAATAAATCAATAAAATTCAGAATCAGAGTGCATTTAAAATTATTTTTAGGAAGCATTTATCTAATCAGACTTCTTCCTACAGTCCTGCTGTCACTCTCAAATTTTTGAAGGCTTATATGTATATATACATAAATATATATGTATAATATGTATTTATAATTATACTTGTATTTATGATATACATTTATATATTTATTATATGTATATATTATATATATAAGTTATTATATAAGTATATATATTTATATATATATATATAATATATACATATATGTATCTTATACAAGTTACACATATGTCTGCTCAAATTGATGCAAACAATTATGAAACATCTGATTATCTTTTCGATTTAATAGTGATTTGTATAGAGATATAATTTTCTTTCGAAATTTATATATGCATGTCGATAAAAATTTCATACAATTATACATTTTAATTTAATACCTGTCATATCTTTGTACCTCTTTAAGACAGATCAATCAAAAAATTAAATATCACTCTTGCAAGTATGAGTCATTTGTGTGCGTATGTAAATTGTAAAAATCAATTTTATAAAATACACAAATTCTCTATATGTTAAAAGAGATATATCCAGTTATTTACAAAATAGTAATAATAAAATATAATGTTATTATGTGAGTCAGATCTTGAATTGGTCCCAAAATAACGCATACCAATTTGTACATGTAATAATAAAACACAGTATAAGAATCGGTTACTTATTAAATGTATTATGTAAAAATAAGATAAACATCTCGTTTGTCTTACATGGCCGAACATAAGATACAATTTACCAAGTATCCAAAACAAAAAAACTGGTGTTGGCACAAAAACAAAAGTTTGATTATTTTTGGTATTACGCTGTTATTGTGGGACATTCAGTAGAAGAGGAAAAATTCTTACATGATACGCGCGATGAAATCAGTTTAAGCTTTGTATCTATCTGACGATCCGCCTTTGTAACAGCAAATTAAAGCGAGTATTAGACTAATGATTTCTAGGGCTAAAACCAGTACCGCTGCACCCATAAAATGATAAGTCTGCGTCTTCAGTGTAGTAACCAATTTTTCCATACATCCCTACAACAAATTTTTTTACTTATACACTACACTACACGTAATACAATAAAGCTAAGCATAAGATTAAATAGCAAATTAATTAATTAATTAATATAGCAATATAAAAACAAGCATTACCTCATTGTAGATCGCAGAGCTCACGACTCCGGCAACTTTCATCTGACGTCCTTGATTGCAGGCGGTGCTATCCGTATCTTTGCAGCAGGATTTTGGTATTCTGAATATGTTTTCAGCATTTGAAACACCAAAATTGAGACGTAATTGAGAAGAATCTTGCTTTCCATATTTGCTGCCGGCCCAATCTTCAGGTCCATTGGCTCCGCAGCATTCAAGAGTGGATTGAATTGTATCCATGATTTGCGTGCGACATTGTATCTCACCATATTCATCCTACGAAAATAATAGGACATGCTTATTTTCATAACATATTATCATAATAACAATGTTCAAGAATCACTTCGTGGAATTGTTGAATTTAGCGTACAATAAACATCTTATAATTAAAAGGGAAATTACCTTAACAGTGTTTATCACGGAAGATCGCACCAATTCGTCCAAA